TCCTGAGGAGTCAGCTGAATGGTAAGAACAAGATCCGGGCCATCAACACGTACGCCCTGCCCGTGATCAGGTACCCTGCTGGGGTAATAGGCTGGCCAAAGGAGGAGATAGAAGCCACTGACATAAAGACAAGAAAGCTCCTTACCATGCATGGAGGGTTTCACCCCAAGTCCAGCACCCTGAGGCTGTACGCTAAGCGGAAGGAAGGGGGCCGGGGACTGGTGAGTGTCAGCACCACAGTCCAGGATGAGACAACGAACATCCAAGAATACATTGGGAAGATGGCCCCAACTGACCGAGTGCTCAGTGAATACCTCAGGCAGCAGAAACCCAAGAAAGAGGAGGGAGACGAGGAACCATCATGGAAGGACAGGCCCCTGCACGGTATGTACCACCGGCAGATAGAGGAGGTGGCTGATATCCAGAAATCCTACCAGTGGCTGGACAAAGCTGGACTGAAAGACAGCACAGAGGCACTAATCATGGCAGCACAAGAACAAGCTCTGAGCACAAGATCCATAGAGGCTGGGGTCTATCACACCAGGCAAGACCCCAGGTGCAGGCTGTGTAAAGATGCCCCAGAGACAATCCAGCACATAACAGCAGGGTGCAAGATGCTAGCAGGCAAGGCATACATGGAACGCCACAACCAAGTGGCCGGCATAGTGTACAGGAACATCTGTGTTTTATATATATATATATATAAAAAAAAAAAAACACCCAGCACGCCCCTGCGGGCGGTTTATCCTTCAAGCTCGGGTCCTCTACCAGAGGCCTGGGAGCTTGAGGGTCCTGCGCAGTATCTTAGCTGTTCCCAGGACTGCGCTCTTCTGGACAGAGATCTCCGATGTTATTCCCGGGATCTGCTGGAGCCACTCGCCTAGCTTGGGAGTCACCGCACCTAGTGCTCCGATTACCACAGGGACCACCGTTACCTTCACCCTCCACATCCTCTCGAGCTCTTCTCTGAGCCCTTGGTATTTCTCCAGCTTCTCGTGTTCCTTCTTCCTGATATTGCTGTCATTCGGAACCGCTACATCGATCACTACGGCCGTCTTCTTCTGTTTGTCTACCACCACTATGTCCGGTTGGTTAGCCACCACCATTTTGTCCGTCTGTATCTGGAAGTCCCACAGGATCTTAGCTCGGTCATTCTCCACCACCCTTGGGGGCATCTCCCATTTTGACCTCAGACTTATCCTCTCTGCCACACTGATTTATTGAATGCCAGTTACACACACACACACACACACACACACACACACACACACACACACACACACACACACACACACACACACACACACAGACTGAAGACATCAAACTAATTTGTTCTGACATTTGTCAAAACCGTTTTCGTTGTCAAATGCACAAACAGTCGTCGTAGAACAAAACCAGACAAATCACAGAAGGCTGATAACACTGCAGGGTCAGAAGTGTTTCACAGCTAAAGTTTGAAAGGGAGAATAAGATTTCAGCCATATGTCATAAAAAAGAGAGAATATAAAAAGGTTTACTCGTAAGCTTCCTGGGATATTAGTTGTGCAGAAAACAAAATGTCGATAAACACTTCCTGCGTGAACCTATACTGCTGTTTCTGAGCTAGGAGTCAGTCAACTAAGCCTGTGATTTCTGAAGGAAAATGTCAGGATATTTATCAGTGAGCTAAATGACAAGAGAAAGCATGTGAGTCGTACAGCAAGAGTTCAAAATTAAACTTAAAGTTCGCAACTTGCCATATTACTTGATTCTGATTGAAGCAAGCCACTCCTGTTACTGAAAATGACCAAGTCTGCGGTTCAGAGCAGGTACAGTCACTGAGAGGGAGCAAGAGAAAATCTCTGCAGGGGACTTAAGATAAAGGCTGCAAATTAGCTGTTGTCACCAAGCACCAGTGTGCACTACTGAAAAGTGAAACCTGTGCTTAATGGTCACTCGAGGCTGGCTCCAGAAGTGACTCAATCCCCAAAGACTCCCACATTAAATTGACCAGCTTTACAGCAAAAATGAACTTGTTTACAGCGCGATATAAAAAAATATAAGGCTTTGCTCTCCATATGGATAATTTCCACATTCATAAAAACAGTGTTTGTGTGTGGGACGGGAGGGGAGTAATTGGAGTAATTGCATTTACTGAACTGGACCTTTGGATTGTGTTTGTGCTATTAGTGCTTTTTGGAGCATTTTAAGTGGAATTATCTAACAAATAATGTGTCTTGCTGTGCTGGTACGGGGAATCCATCCAGCAAGTGTGCAGTTTAGGGCTTTTTTTAAAATCTATGCACACAGTATCAAAAGAGAAGCATGGAAGAAGACAGCGCTGTGTGGTTTCTTCTGTAAACATCCCCTTGTAGACAGTTGTTCACTAGTGGACATTCCAGTTGCCTAGGTAACCCCGTTGACTATCATGACTCAGAGACTGAGGACCCAAATGCAGACTCATGAAACGAATTGACAATGGACCTTTTAATAGACCTTTTAATGGATCCAAACAAAATTTTAATAGCTTGAAGAGGCAAGCAGAATCCAAAAGCTTCAAAAGCACAAGGGAGGACAAAGGGAAGCCAGCATTATTTATAGACACACAGGGTAATCAGGTAATGGTTGACAAGATGCAGCTGAACATAATCAGGACAATCAGAGAAGAGGAGAGAAGTAAAACAACACCATGAAGAACAAACAGACAGGAAAACCAATATCAAAACAGGAAGTCAGGGAACAACTAAACAGGGACAAGAATGAACTCTAAACTGAAGGGTGAGATTAATTAATGAGAGTAATTAATGTCATAAAAACACACACAGAAACTTGTGCTGAAGATAAATGAGAACTCAAGGGTTGAAGACTAAGTAGTCAATGAAAACCCAAGCCTCAACTATAAAGGTTAACCACAGGGCATAGCAGTGACACGTCATGACCTATGGGTTACGTTATCTGCAGTACATCACTGCTGTCAAGTGCCTTTGGAAACAGCTGTGATTGGCTGTGAGAGACTGCAGTTGATGGTTCCTGAGGTATCGCTGACTGGTCTCTAGGCTTGTGTAACTGAGACCGGTTACACGCGTGGCTAAAAACTGTTTTGCTGCTGATAACACTGCACCCTCTCATCCATATATGAACACTTCTCCCTCCAAAAAGCCAATAAAGAAAAAGCCAAAACATGGAAATGTAATTATTTGAGCTGAGCTGGTTTGTTCCACAGAACTGAAGTTTTCGTTTGCTGCCGTCTTTTGTCTTTTTGTCTCCTAAGGCATTTTGTTTTCGATAAATACACCAGGGCATACATACTTGAATTGCAGTGTTGAATTATTCACTCAGTGTAGCCTTGGAAGGATATCTCTTCTTCCTCAATGAAAAGTAAGTTATTCAACACATTATAAAAGCTGAAGCACAATTTTGTAACTCAAATTGCGGCCATGAGATAATCTCTTATTGTGCTGTGCGTATCTTCAAACACAATCATGAATTTTCACCTAAACATCACTCAAAAATCAGATCAGAAAGACACAGACAAAGCGTGTTTGTGCAGGCCTAGAGATAAACCCGTGTGATGCTCTGAAACAAGAGCAGCCATCAGGTTTGTGAGTCATCCTGCCTCTCCAGCTGAGGTATCGATGAGCTGCCGACATGTCCATCTGAGCGCAAGGAAATTGTCAAACTCAGCTGGCAGCCGTCTGAAGCTGATCCCGGCAGACAAAGCTGCTGCTGTTCTGAGTTTATTTTTAAATGTTCACACTGTTGTGAAGGTTACCGCAAAAAATTAACTGGAAACTTATCAAGCTGATTGAAAGTGCCCATTATGGGACTCTCTGTGTGATTTAAATTGTTTAAATAACATGAACTCAGTAATCTTGAACAAAGCTGATGGACTGCCCTGTTAACAGTTATTCCCTCCCCAAAGGGAGGGAGTATGTTATCGGTTCTGTCTGGTTGTCTGCTTGCTACCCGTCTAGGCTCCACAGTTTTCAAGATATCATTTTCAAATTGTGTGATGATAGGTACCAATAACAGCTTGAACTGATCTCATTTAGGTGAAAACTGGATCAAGGTCACACCAAATATGAAAATCTGTAAAAAGTTTATATTACCCACAATTTTTTACCGATCATCTTCAAACTTCAAACAACAGCATAATAGACCTTTGCCGACAGGAGAAGCTAGGTTGGTTAAGTATTTCACCGTGTCCTTCATCGTTAGCGCTCAAGATAAAAGTTGACCTTGAAAATAAATTTCAAGAAACCATATTAAGTAATATATCATATGAAAGGACATAAAGACAACTGTACAACACACTTTGTATTTTTTCAATATGATTCCCTGCAATGTCACGATGATGCAATAAGAGGCTGGCATCATCATACTGTAAAAAAAACATAATAAAATCAAAGCTTTAGTACAGCCATTGCCCTTTAAGGATAGCTGTGCTCTCTGACTGCAAACAGACAAGACAGTAGAACAAAATTCCTCCCAAAATAATGACAGTGCTTTTCAAAAGTAAATATAAGGAAGGATAATGTAATTAAAAGATTCAGAAAGTCTGTAAAATCTCTGTAAAGAAAACACGAGCCTGCAGACCATCATTAAATGTTGGTGGAGTTCAGGCCCCTCCGGCAGCGCTGCCTTAAAAACAGAGCTGATTCTGTGGTGGAGATTGCTGCATGAACTCAGGAACACCTCTAAAGGCAAAACTGTCAGCAGTAAACACAGCTCATTAAGTTAAAACTCTACCGAGTAAGGAAAAAGATGGATCCAAAAACATCTTCTTCAATGAGTCTGAGCTCGTTTAAGATGGCCTGAGGCCAAGTGGTGCGGGTCTGACCAATCAGAGTCTGAGACACTTTTTGAAGTTCATGTATCCTGTGGCCTCCAGGCTAAAGAGGAGAGGGACCATCTGGTGTGACATCAGCACAGATGAGCAAACAGTTTTGAAAAAAAAGAAAACCTGGGCAATAAATAAATATTTTGTAAATCATTTGTAAATCATTTGCTCTCAGACTCACCATGGTTGTGTCTTTCGGTGTGAGCGTTGTTCTGGGCGACGATCCTGCCGTAACTCACGGGAGGAAGCAGACAGAGCAGCAGCCACAACATCTCAGAGCCTTCTGTTAACCTATCAACACAAATAAACATTCAAATATGAGCTGGGGAAAAGACCCACTAAACAGCTAATGCTCCTAATGCACTTACTGTGAGAAAGTTTAGTTTCCATCTGATAACAGTGAAGTCTATCTAAGTGTCCACTTGTCTAAGAGTCACATGTTCAATTTTAAGGGGCATCAGTGGGTTCACCCTGCAGCTCCTCAAGTCCAAACACAACAGCTTTGCCTCCTCCAGTCATGAGACACATCACAAGGGATGAAACCCCCCTCACTTCCTCCTTTCTCCCATCAAATCAGTCCTGAACAACACCGCCGCCTCACCAGATTCCCATTAAAAACTTCATGCATTCCTAAAATTACAACTTCTTCCAATGAATTAATAAACGTATAGGAGAAAAAACTAATTTAGATTTATCTGTTTACCTCCCAGTGTTGACAATCTTCCACGTGTTTGCAGAAGGAGCAGAAAACAAAATCTGCCTTGGTGCATGTTACACAACAATAAAACAACAGAGAAAAACACTGTCCATTGGTATGGAAGTCCATGAATGCCCAAACTGGAATGTGATAATAATTAAATTAATTTAACTGAAATGAACTTGTAATAAAAATTTAAAACTAAATAGCAAACAGACAGGTTTTTCTCATTAAATTATCCAAAAAGAATGCCCTCATCTATTTTTTTGACCATTTAACTGAATGAAATGTAACACAGCACACAAAATACTCAGTAATCATAGAATTAACTTTTTAATCCACATATTTTTAAATGGAATTTATAAGAAACATTGTCCCTTTTTAATCATTATAAATGCAAGTAATTGCCTTTACTCTTTACTTTTTAGCATTCTATGCAGTGACTAACTGTAAAAGCAGATGCTTTAGCCATTTGCTAATGTGTAGCATTTAGCTGTTTGGTAACACAATGCCACAAGATTCCCAGGAGAAGACATGCCAGCAAATTAAGCTGTCATGGTCCGGAGTCTGTGACTCCGTGTTTTTGTTTAGTTTATTATTATTCTGTGGTTTTGGTTACCTTGGGTGTTTGTACTTCTCTGTTTCATGGTTCATGTTCCTATGTTCTGTGTCCCCCAGTCTGTGTTAAGTTGGTGTGTTATGTCATTACGTGTATGTGTTTCCTGTTTTACTTTGAAGGTCCGTGTCTGTTCTCAGTGTGTTCACTTTTTCCCCTGTCTCGTCAGGTCGGATTACTCCCAGCTGTGCCCTCCTTTTGTGTCTCATCCCCTCGTTATCCTTCTGTGTATTTTAACCTCGTGTCTGCCTCTGTTAGTTGCTGGTTCGTCTGCGTTATTCCCCTCCGTCATTCTGTGTTTATTCCTCCGGCTTCCTGGTCATTCTCCCTGCAAGGTACCCTCGTTCGTGTTCTGGCTTTGTGTTTAGTTTTAGTTTTCCCAGTTTAGAGTTTTTACCGTTCTGTTTCTCGCCACCCTTTTTTGTTGTACTTCACCTGTTGTAAATAAAGCTCACCCTCCACTTAAGCAGTCTGCATCTTGGGTCCGTTATTAATCCACACGGCCTGCCTCGGCACCCCGTGACATAAGCCCAATATCCAAATGTGAAATGCACAGAGAAAAGCCAAAAACCCAACTCAGACTCTACAGGCCTCAGCTGGGATGGGAAATGTTCAAGTCGATGACAGAACAATTAAAAAAAGACTAAATAAGCATCACTTGTTTGGAAGAGTTTTCAGGATAAAACCTCTTCTATCTAAAAAGAACAGGGTAGCATGGTTTAGGTTCACAAAGTTGCATCTGAACAAACCACAACACCTCTTTAGCAATATATTTTGGAGAGACAAGACCAAAATGGAGATGTTTGTTCACACAGCACCGCTTTTGGAGAAAAGCAAACACAGGACACCTTGCAGTCACTGAACTGACCATAAACTCATCTATATACCAAACTGTTTTAGAGTCAGATGTAAGGACATCTGTAAGGACCACCAGCTAAAGCTTGAAAACTTGGTCATGGAACAGGACAATAAACCCAAGAACAGCAGCAAATCTCCAACAGAATGGCTGAAAAAAAATGAATCGAGGTGTTGTAACGGCTCAGCCAAAGTCCATACTTCAGCCAGACCTGATTCTTCTGGTGCAACTTTAAGCAAGCTGTGCATAAAAAATTACATACAGACAACAATAAAGTGAGATACTGTTAAATTCATACAGAAAACAATCCACTCTGATTTGGTCATGTGCAGTACAGGTGATGCTGTCTGCATTCCTGTTCACTTTGTATAACTGGGTCATACTACCCACAGAAATAGTCTGACTATTCTGCATTAGTTGGACGTATTAGTGATGGGCAGGAGAAAGAGAGCACCATGAAGTGGGCGAGGAGGAATCATCTGCTTATAAATGTGATCAGGATGTTAACGTGGTGGAGGAGTGCAAGTACTGTGGCATGCATGTTAACATAAGGCTGAACAGTTGGACCAAAATGTATACAAAATGAGGCTGTAAAGCTCCGTATCCTCTGGAGATCCTTCAATGTGTGCAGCAAAATGCTGGAGATTTTCTATCACTCAGTTGTGGTGAGCTCAGTGTACTTTGTTGTGATCTGCTGGAGAAGCAGCATTGGAGCTGGTGACACATACGGACTGAATAAACTGATTAGGAAGGCTGGCTCTGTGATTGATTGAAGGCTGAAAACTTTTGAAGTTGAGGTGGGGAGGTCACTGACCAAACTGTTATCCACCGTGGATAATCCTGACCACCCTCTGCACCACTTACTGCAGATAGTGGTTAGGAGTGAAGGTCAAGGTCAAGGTAACTTTATTTATACCCATAGGCAAGGTAAATTTGCTTTACAGAAAAAATGACAGCATTTGGAGTGAAGCACCTTCTCTAACAGACCATATGTTATCACCAACTATAATTGAATTATACCTGTGTGACCTGGCAGAGAGGCATCTGCCAGCTATTATTATAGTACTTGTACTACTATGTTACTATAATTTTATTTTGACTTCTGTATCATTACTTCAAGCTTTTGCTGTTAAAGGTGGCTCTGTAAGCTACTTACACGTATTTTTTTTCCATGTCTGCATTGTGACATTTTGAAGGACCCACCGAAGGATCTGAGGCTGTGAACTAACTTGTATGGAATCAACATTTCTGACAGACCCAGACCCAGTGCTAACATGTACATGGAGCCAGAGGGCAGAAAACAAGAGGAATTGGTAATTCAAATCGGTTGAATTCATTTTCATTTCTATAGTGCCAATTCACAACAATTCATCTCAAAGTACTTTATATTGTCAGGTAAATACCCTAGAAATAAATCCCCAAATCACACAACCTCCTACAACCAACCACTTGGCTACGATGAGAGAAGAACTGCCTTTTAAAATGAAGAAAGCCCCAGCAGAAGCAGGCTCAGAGAAGGGCAGCCATATGGTGAGAGGAAAGGAAAGTGAGCAAAGAGAGATTGGAGAAAAAGCAAACTAATAATTGCAGAGTGGTGTACACAACGTAGAGAATGAAAAGAGTTTAGCGAAGAAGAACTAGTCAGAGCATCATGGAAAGCAAGAGTATATCCTTCAGTGTGCATATTTGTTTAATATGAAAGGTGAAGGACATATTCTGGTCAAAAATGACTCTAAGATTCTTCACAGTGTTACTGGGAGCCAGAGTAGGCATCTGGTTGGATACCATATTTATAAGATTTTAGGGCTGAGTATAAAAACTTCTGTGCCTGAATTTAGAAACAGGAAATTAGAAGTCTTCCAAGTCTTGTCTTTAAGACATTCCTGTAGTTTAATAACTAATTTTTGTGTGTTAAGATGGGTATCGTCTGCATAGCAATGAAAATGTATGCAGATTGATATTATGCTGTCTGTGAAAACCAGCAAGAAACTGCAGATCTCTGAACTAGCTAGTGGTGACTTAGTAACTTTGTTTGTAGCTGTACTTATTTTTCAGAGAAATAAAGTCAAAGTCTGGGCACTAGACCTTGGTCTGTAAAATCCAAAATTGGTTGTTTCAAATTAGCATTTGAAAGCTGGACTACCCACTAAACTGACAAAACAACCTTGGCAGAACAGATATTGGACATGTTTTTGGATATTAAGTTTTTTAAATATTAAGATATTATTGGCACTGTTTTGAAATTTGAGGGACTTTTGTCCATGTGTAAGATAAGATACTGACAATTTCTTCTTTTACGGCTCAGTCTGATGGGTTCATTTTCCCACAGCCAATATTACATGACTTAAAGTCAGCGGACTTCTTAACTTAGGCTTAAATATAACTCCAAATAGTTAAAGATGCATTACAAACATATCTTCTGAACATTAAAAAAAGAAAAACTTGGTGTAAATTCACTTTCAAATTGTGGATGATTTCCAAGTTGCTGTCTTTTGTTCTCCTCTGTAACTCTAACAACTGCTGATGCTCATTCGCTCCAGCTTACATCAGATCTTATTTATCTTTCGAAAAGTGAATTACCCTGCAATGTTTGCACGACCCACAAAGTGGTTTAATAGTACTTACTGTCACCAGAATCCCCAGAGACTAGTCAAACCATCTGGATGAAAAGATTAAAACACTGTTGGAGGGACTTTGATGTTTCTAGAAATAAAGTGCTGCAGTATTTAGACCTGTCCCCTCACAAAACATGATTTTTTAAATCAGAACATATCGTTGCCATGACACTGACCTTTAGGTTGCTGTGTTCGATAACATCAACGATATCAGATATTAGAGGGTCTGCTCAAAGCTCATTACTTTAATCAGCTTACTCCACTGAACTGTTTCCTCAGAGCCTACTGAGCATGTGCAAGAAGTCATAGATGCACCATTTACACACACTGCTGAAGGATCAGGAGTGTGGACTTATTGATATGTTTTGGTGGTTTTCTCTGCAGAGGTAAAAACACAAGTCATTCTCAAGACGTGCTGTGATCGAGAGGCAAAAAGAAGATAAACGTTTTCTGTCATTTCTATTTCTTTCTATTGAGAATGAGGGTCTTCAGTAGGAAAACCAAATG